AAAAACTTATTACAATGAAAACAAGTCAGATGAGGAACTGAAGCTGGGGATGCAGGTAACGTATGTACCGAAGAGGAAAACAGACAGAGGAGAGCTGATTCAGCTCCATCAGCGTCACTTGTTACCTGTCTTATTAATGTTTCTCAAGCTACCAAAGCTCTTTAATTTCCACATTTTGCGTTTGGCTGCAGAGCGAGAGATAAGCACAGAGAAAGAGAAACAGAGAAAGACAAACACCTTTAATAATCCCCACGGAGGTAGAAAGCAGAGGCAGAGGAAAAAGCGTAGGAATATGTAAATAATGTAAATATATGTTATTTATAATAACAACAGCAGAAATAAAATGCTGCCCTCGAAAAACATTCTTTAATTTTTTATTAATGCGTTAATTTTCTAGTCATTAATTATAAAAACACCGTGTTGATGCTTCTTTGCACTCACTATAATATCTGTATGTATTACAGTGGGCATAAAAGAGTCTATTTTTATTACACTAGCAGCAGCAGCAGCAGTTTCAGGCAAACAGCAGCTTGTGGTAAAAAACTGAACCTTCGATATTTATGTCAGTTTACCTTCAGCCTGCCCAACGGCAGCATCTCCTTTCTGATTCATGCTCTTCTTCCTTCTGTTCTTCTTCCTGTCGCTCATGGGAGATGCCTGACCGGGGTCTTTTCCAGAGAAAGGACTGGCAGCTCCTTCAAGTGCATCTGACATTCAAAAATAAACAATCACACACACTGACAACACCTCTAAACATAAATGAATCCTCCAAAAAAAGGAACAAAACAAAAAAACGTGATTGAACTTAAATGTGTTCAGTAGTTTATGTATAAATCCAGTTTGTTCAATTGACTCATTTTCTTTAAATTTACTTTATATTGTACCAAAAATAGCTTAGTATTATTCAATTTTTGTTATTTTTTCTGTTTATTAATCATCATTATGCAGAACATAAAAAACATACAGAAAGCTAATCGGCTACCATGTTGATAAGGTAATGTAATAATTTGCTTTAGTGGAAGAAAACTGAGTAAATTCAACTTAAGTGGTAACGTTTGTATAAAGAAGATGCATTTCAGTGACTTTATTCAAATAAATTATGTTCACACATTTTAAATAAGTTTGAAGAAACTTCAATTAACTTAATTTAAACATAACAATAATAGCTACTTCTACTCAAATCCAACATGTTTCATGCTTAAATTGTGTGAGTTAATAAACTTTGATTTGAGTTCACAGTGTATGTTTGCTGTGGCTATACAGTGTGTTTTCTCTTTTGAACTGGTGGAAGTGACTGAAAGGTTTTAACGTACCGACACTTTGTGCTTTGGTGGACAACGAGGAGGCGCAGCGTTGAAGTCCTCTCTCTCCTCCCTGAGGCGACAAACCACCAGACCGGTCTTCAACCACAGAGAGGGTGGCTGGACACAGCTGAGGAACTGGCAGCGAGAGAGGAAGTGAAACGTTTATAGCCTTTAAATGAAACTCAGACGATCTGTGTCACACTCTGTTTGCATGCACACAAGCAGAAGTACCTGTGCTGGTGTTATCAGCGGCCGTCAGCTCCTTACTCAGCCCGTTGACTCCAGGCATGGAGCCGGGGGGGACCGGTGAGGGGCCCGCAGGGGCGACGGCTCTCGGAGGACGTTTCCCGGGAACTTTAACCGTGACACGCAGGAGGTCGATTTCCTTTCCGTGGATATTCTGAGTGTAGTCCTGAAACCGACAACATGTCACACAGATTAGACCTTTTTACTAAGACTAGAGCAAGAATACACTGTAAAAGTTATTAAGTTAACACAACTTAATCCCATAAATTACTCAAAAATGAACTGCTGAAGTAATAATTAAGTTGTTTTAGTGTAAGTATTTTGACATAATTCCAGTTTGTTCCAATGACTTATTTCTTTAAGTTGTAAGATCATCACAAAAATGTATGTAAGCCCCATTGTCGGAGCTATAATGCTGTATGTTTATTTCATTTTATAAATCGTCATATGTCCAAGTACACATCAATTCTTAATGATGAGTGTAAAGAGTTTATAAACTTAAATGGTTTAATCGTTTTAAACTAACTCAACTTTTGGATGAGGAAGTAATTAATTCTCTTACAAATTAATTGGAATCAAAAGCAAGCTTTACTGCTACCACCTAAAGTTAGCTAATGCTAGCAGGTCAGTGGCGGCACTTGGATCTAATCGAGTACTTAAATACAACGTTGAGGTACTTTTACTTTACTTGAGTATTTAGATTTAATGCAGCTTAATACTCAAAGAGCTTTCAGAGGGAAATATTGTACATTTTACTGTCTACGATGATCTGAAATCACAATACAAACGAGCTTAGCAACAGTTGTCGCTGTTTAACAAAGGTTACGTAAACTCACTTTAAAGGCAGAATGAGGAGGATTTTCTTAAAAAACGATGAAAATAATTTACTAATTAAGATGTAGTGACCTAATGCAAGTATTATAAAATTAAAGTAACGTAACATGATTACTTTCTGATACTTTTGGATTATATCAAAACCAAATTAGATCTTTTTTCTTTCAGCCTAAACACTATTTTCATAGTTGGAAGGCAGAACTTGCTATTTACTGTAATGTTGTTCCCTTTTCTGCTTTAAAGATCCACCCAGAGAATACAGTTCTGTCATTAGAGGCCATGATAATGAATTGTATCTGTAGGATTAGGTGTGGTCCCACTTGTGAAGTGTTGCAATGCGTGCGTACTGCACATGTGCAAGGTAGTATATCATTTTTTATTTAGGGCCCGAGCAGCGACCGCTGTGAAGGCCCTATTGATTCTGCTCGGATTATTTTATTCTGCAGTTAATCGTTTTCTGCCGGCTGCAACGGGCTCCAAACGTCATGACAGGCGGCACACGTCGTATGGGTCCCGCACATGGGTGAGGCAACAGCAGCCCCGCCATCACGTTTCACAGATATGCATGAAAATTAGTAGGAACATGCATCATGTCCTGACGTTAAAAAAAGCCTCTTGGGGCAATACCCCAAACCCAATAGGAAGTCAGCCCTTTTGAATTTAGTGTGCAATTTTGGTACAGTTTTTACAATTTCCATGCATTGTATTTTAACAAACCTCTCCGACCAAAAGTTATCAAAAGCTTTTTGGATTTGCCCCAAACTTCACATTTGGTCATGTGTTCAGTCCCACCCTGAACACATTTACATGCTGCCATTATTCAGTCACACTCACAGCGCCACCTACTGGAAACAGGAAGTAAACCTCGTCATCATCATCTGATTGACCTGAAATCTTCAGTGTGATCTTTTTATCTATATTCTGGCACATAATGTGACCGCAACATGCCCTGACGCACACAGACCACGAGGGCGCCGTTCATGCAGCTTTAATTTTTAAATGTATTTTGAAATAATACCCATTCTTAGTAAATGTAACTGTAATCTGATTCCATTCCCTCCTCCTTTTGTTTCTGTAACTGTAACAGAAAACAGTCATACTAGTTAGTTACTCCCCAATACTGCTTATGACTATAAGTGTGTGTGTATCTGCAGTGACCCTGCAGCCTTCTGCAGCCCGTATTTTGCTGTGTTTCTGGGTGTCAACCTTTAGGCACTGGGTGTGTAACCCCCAGACAATAATAGCACACAGGAAGTGACTGCACAAACGTAGGGACCAGATCGTAAGCACACATCCAAGAGGAAGCTGCGGTGTCATTTAGCCGGGGAGGAGGGGCCAACTTGTGTTTACAAACCCACAAATCATTCTCATTCTGCCTTTAAAGTCTTCCTTTATTTCTCTGAGTCTCTTTTGAGTCTTTCTTTAAGGCTGACAAAAGTGGTGCAGTGGTGCAGAAAACTCAATGACTGTAAATGTTGAATCGCTCAATCAGTTGCGAGCTTCAAGTTTCAAAGCAATTACAGGCCTGTTTAAGACAAATGTGGCCTATGCTGAAAACCAGTGAAGCTGAAACTGTAGTTAAATCTAAAAAGCTGCAGATATTCTCTCCACAGTGAAAACCCTCTTGGCCGTGTGCTGAATCCAGCCTGTGTTTTACTGCCGTATTGATCTGTCTTGTGGTGTTCTCTTACACTGGAGCTGGAGTGGTAAGACAGCGTGCCATTGTTGGACAGGGTGACGTATTTCTTCTTCCACTCCTTATTCAGCGAGCTCCCACTTCTCTTCCACAGGATGCTCTGTCAAAGACAACGAAGGTCACTGCTCGCTCGTAAAAAAAATACAAACCCATCTGCCTAAATTTAGAGTCGACAAAACTGAGACGATCTCTTCAAAGTGTAAAGAGTGGTCCGACAACAATAGCTGAAAGCACAATATTAATAGATCACCCTTGAGAAGGGTTGAAACAAATGTGTTTTTGTGCTGCTTATGTAAGATGAAATAAATAGACAAGTGCGTGTTTGTTCCCACCTTTGCTGCTGAAGAGGGACTTGGCACAAATTATCGTGCTGCAAGCAAACTGAAGCCTGTAAACACCCACTTGATTGAAAATTCACTTTGTTTCTTGCACTGTTTTTGTAATGTTGCAAACCTGTTTGATGGGAACGCCCCGCGCGCCACTCAGGTCTCCTTTGCCGTCGCCCGCCTTCTTATCCGGGTCCCGGTTCTGAAACAAATCCAACAATCCGGGGTTTAATAAGAGGGGGCAGATTTGAGCAGGGAGAGAGAGTCAGAGGTGGAGATGAATGGAGTGAAATGATGGCGAGATATGACAGGAAACTAAAAAGGTGCGAGACACCGGCAGCTGGCAACAACTGACCTTGAAGAGGGAGGGCCGTCTGGGGATGGTCTTCAGAGCACGGTTACCACTGCCTCCCCCCTCTCCCGTTGCAACCCGCAGCTCTCTGTGACCGACCACAGGGGTGGAGGGGAGGGAGCAGGTGTAGCCGCTATTCTGGCCGTTACTAGCCTGAGTGGAGGAGCGAGGCGAGGAGGAGGAGGAGGGGTGGAGGAGAACAAAATAGAATAGGATAGGAGAGAGGTTTTCAGACAAGATGAGGAGAGCCGAAGCTAAAACAATGATC